AATTTTTATTTCAATTTATTTAATTTATTTATAATAAATTCTTTATTATTATTATTATTATTATTATTATTACAAGTTTTATTGTAATTATTATTATTAGTAGTAAAATTATTATTATTAAAATTATATTATTATTACAATATTTATTGTTGTAGTAATTGTATTATTATAAGTAGTAGTAGAAGTAGTAGAAGTAAAATTATTATTATTATTATTATTATGCCCCACTGACATAAAAAATATCCTTTTTATTGACATTTTTTTTATTTTTAATTGTTTTTAAACTGTCACAACAATGTTTCACTGGGTAATTAGATTGTCTTTAAGCATGTCTCTGTTTGAGGAGACTAAAGCTTTGGTTCTCTGGGCTGATTTTATGACGTACAGTAATGCCTGTAAATGAGAGAGGAATTAAATCCACAAAGTTTGTTGACCTTTGCAGACACATAGAATTCTCACTGGAGGCTCATATTTGACAGGAACAACTACAAGAGGTGCTCTGGGAAGTCCAGCTTTTCAACACCGTCAAATGAAGCAAGTGCTGAAAGCTAAAGCGCAACACTGTCATCATAATATAAGTGTGCAATCGCCCTTGTGGCTTTAAAATGCAATAAAAGAAGTGGATAAAAGCTCTAAACTAAAAGAATAAACGTCAATATTACTTGGGATTAAATCAGAATAAAATGATTGTGGTTATCATTATATCCTGTCATCATTCAGACTTTTACAGTATCATCTGAAACAGAGCAGATCTGAAACGAAAGTGAAACTATGATTTAAACACACTTCCTGTAAAGCCGGCAGCATCAGGAGAGAGCTTTTGGACAGCCAAACATGATAAACAGCCCTTTACATGTTAAATACCACACAATAAGCTTAAATAGTGTCTGCTTTTCATTGTTTGTTAACCAAATGGGATGTGCAAAATTAAGAAAATAAGAAAATATCACACTTTAACAAAGTCAACTATCCTTTTTTTGTAGCAATTTGAGGAAATATTTATCCAAACTGAAGCTACTCTTTAAGCTTTAAAGGCAACAAGCACAAGCTTTATATTAGGGATGCAACGACTATAGATTTTGGCTGTGCGATTATAGTCTGAGGAATAATCACAGTTATCACGATTATTCTGCATTCATTAATTTCAAAACACTGCTAGTTTAGAAAAATCACATAAAAACTCCTTATATTTTAAAGTGTTTCTTTTTTGCTGCTCAGTAACCAAATAATATGACAAAAAAAAAAAAAAACAATAGTCCGTTTCTCTTTGGACTTTAAAATAAGTGAAAAAGGTTTTGGCTTTTAAAAATAAGTAATAATTTTACACTGAAAATAAATGTCAATAAATAAAATTTACATAAATAAATTTTAAATAAATAAAAATGATTTAATTTTAAACAAAATTAAAATAATTATAATAAATAAATAAAATTTGAATAAATTAATATAAATGTTAATAAATTAAAATAAATAAATTTAATTTAAATAAATAAAAAATAAATGAAAATATACAAAAAATAAAAATAAATTAATACATTTTAAATGTTTTTTTTTATAAATTAAAACAAATAAATAAAACTAATTAATTAATTAACATTTAACGATTAATTAACTGTGACAAGTTAAATTGCGGATATATAATTTAGCAAGACATAGGAGGGGCTCTGACGTGTGTTTTAATGACAGTTTCTGAAGCTTCATTATGAATTCTCTGAGGTCAACAAACACACAGGAATCCAAGTGAACACTTGCCTAACAGACATAGGAAATATGTTCACATAAAGCTTGAAATCTCTACTTTTAAATGAAACCAACTGTACCACAATGTTGGGCTCCACAGAAACAAACATATGCGACAGTAACACCTCGTAAACATCTCAAATGACAGCTCAACAACGGAAAAAAAAAAAAAAAATCACAACAGGGAGGTATTTAACCTGCATAATTGAGATATCCAGAGCATTCTGTCATGCTACTATTACTGTTTTCAAGCAAAGCAGGAAATGTCAACAAGTCCATCCCAACAGATTAACAGTCTGCAACTGAAGAGGTTACAACCAAACCTTCTCAACACTCTTAATAAACATAAATCACGAGTTTATGAAACACGGCCGCCAAAGAGAGCATCAAAACATCAACGAGCAAAAGCAAAGCAATTTAAAGCAACTGAAAATAAGGCGAGCTCTGCTGCTAACACTTCCCTCCAAATGAACAACATTTAAAAATAAAAATCGTTAAAGCCTGATTCACACTACGAGCGACTTGCAGCAGCAAATCGACAAGCGACCGTTCATTTGAACGAAGAGTGAGCGACTTCCGGCGACCTCCGTCTATACGAGTGACAGCGACCCATTGGCGACCAGGTGGGCATGTCGAGCTTTATGCAAATGAAGAGCAACTTTCTTAAGCGGAGCACCAGTAGAGCTCAGCTCGCCAGTTGTATTCTCCGTGCTGTAGACCTTAGTGATGGAAAGTTCGGATCACTCTTTGAGTCTCGTTCATCGAGAAGAACGAATCTTTTTTTCGAGTCATTTCGTTTATTTGGTTCAATTTGCCAAAATATTATTAAAATGTAACGAACTGCTTCCAAACACATCTACAACTAACCCAAAAGGTTGATCACACGACAAATAAGTCATAAATCGAATACTATAAGAAGGAAAAAAATAATAATAATTCGATGTTTACCTGCTCTGTTGTCTATGAAGGTATTGTTGTCTTTTTGCTCAGCTCACCTCTTCATGTCTTCAAATGTCAGGGGTTTGTTCACGTTACACTGACAGTCACATATAATCTTAACCAATGTACACAGTCTGAGCCGATAGGAGCCGTAATAATTAGTTCACCTTTCGAGTCTTCTGGTTCTTGAGTCGTTCGTTCATCATGTGACTCGAGAGATGAACGGATCAATTCTTTTTCCGGCTTTAAACGCGTATGATTGGCCCGTGAGAAATGAATGACTCAGACCCGATAGAGGACTCGAGAGATGAACCGATCAAAACGCAAATGATTGGCTTCTGCCTTTCCGCGACGAACGACTCAAAAGACTTAAAATGAATGATACCACCAGCACAAATGTGCGCACGCGCGGTTGAACGAATCACTCCCTGAGAGGACTCGTAGTTCCCAAGTCATTTTGAAGATTCATTCAAAATGAACGAATCGTTCAAGAACGACCCATCACTAGTAGACCTACACAAACCTGTGTTTGCAGCAGGTCACCACCCAGAGAGACAGGCAGCTACAATGTCACTGCTTGTGTGAATGAGGCAATTAATGAACAACTCAACATTGTAAATAACGTCACATCCGACCACAAGCTACAAATAAAACCTGATGACACATTTATTACCACACACAAACCGCTTCATTTCAGTGGAAAACAAAACTCTCACTTTAATTCTTAACCAAACTAATGTTACTTAATTAGCCAGGCATAGCCATTAGACTGAAACCAACTAACCCAGGGATGATGATTTGAGTAAAGTCAGTTTTATAGTTGAAGCAAGAATTATTAGCCCCCCTGAATTATTAGCTCCCCTGTTTTTTTTCCTTTTTTTCCCCCAATTTCTGTTCTGTTCTGGGAAGATTGTTTCAGCACATTTCTAAGCATAATAGTTTTAAAAACGTATTTCTAATAACTGATTTATTTTATATTTTGCATGATGACAGTTAATAATATTTGACTATATATTTTTCAAGACACTTCTATACAGCTTAAAGTGACATTAAAAGGCTTAACTAGGTTAATAAGGTGAACTGGGCAGGTTAAGTTAATTAGTCAAGTTATTGTATAACGATTTGTTCTGTAGATTATCGAAAAAAAAATAGCTTTAAGGGGCTAATAATTTTGTCCCAAAAATGGTTTTAAAAAAATTCATAACTGCTTTTATTCTAGCCGAAATAAAACAAATAAGACTTTCTCCAGAAGAAAAAATATTATCAGACACACTGTGAAAATTTCATTGCACTGTTAAAAATCATTTGGGAAATATTAAAAAAAAAAGAAAATCAAAATCAAAAGGGGGCTAATAATTCTGACTTCAACTGTATATTCGTACATTCCTTCAGTGACCACTTGTGACATGCTCCCTACGTTGTTTACCATGGTACTTTAAATATTGGGTCTATTGCATATTCGGTCTAAAATCACATGTAAATATTATGTTAAAATAACATTAGCACTTTTTAATTGACTGTGAAAAATGTTTGATAGTTATTGGCTGCTAGCATGATTCGACAAAAATAATATTGTTATGAAACTATTTTATTATTAAAAAGTCAGAATCTGCAAATATAAAAACAACTTTCCCACAATATTAAATATATCTATAGAGGTGGTTTTATATTCGGATATTCACTCTCCTTAATAATATACTTTCAGAAAAGTATTGTTTGCAAATTCTAAAAAGGGAAATCATATTAGCAGCTAATAAATATCCAAGTACAGCATTTTTTACGGTCTATTAGATAGTGTTGATGTTGTTTTAAAGTCATATTTACATGCTAATTCTGATTGAATATTCAAATTAGCGTGGTAAACAATATAGAGAAAGTTAAATGAACGAATGTGCGAATATAAAACTTTACCTCTATCTTATATCTGATTTTTACACCCAATATTCAAAGTATCGTTAAGGTTAGCAATAGGTAAACAATATAGGGAGTGTGTCACAAGTTGTCACTGAATGGATAACTTAACCTGAATTTTACACTGGGGTAGAGTTAGCTTTATATTCGGACTTCCTCTTTAATATAATTTCAGTAAAGTATTGTTTGCAAATTTTAAATGAGGATGTCATATTTGCAAAGCACAACATTGTTTACAGTCAATTAAATAGTGCTAATGTTTTGAAGTCAAGACCCAATATTCAAAGTAACGTTATAGTTAGCATGGTAAACAACACGGAAACCGTGTCACAAGTTGTCACTGAATAGAAGAGCGAATATAAAACCAAATGTTATTTACGGTTAATATTAACGAGAGTAATTAATCGTACCAGCTGTTGTCGGATCCAGCGAATCATCCTGGCTCCGGCTAGCGCAGTGAGCTGCTATGTTAGCCCGCTTCGCCGACACCGATCCCCGCAGCATCAACACCGCCGCTGCTGCTGGATAATCTCCGCATTATTAGACTGAATCCGAGCGGGGGCTGCGGACACCGAGACCCGGGCCATCCTGCGCCTGGAGCCCGCTGCGGAGAGCTGAAACACGGACGCACACACAACCCGCTGCGCTTCTTGACGGAGCAGAAGAAGAATACTTCTGACCGACAGACTGGCTGGCTGACAACATCCAGGAAGTGACGTCACTCGCCAAACAGATCAACGCCTGGAAAGTTGAGTCGCACGTGCGCCTGCAGGAATTCATCATCGAATATATCTCTCTCTTTTTAACGTGCTTGCTGATAGTATAGCTATATATGTAGTTTTAGGCAGCAAACTGATAATCGTGGATCGTTTTTACACTCGTGATGAGCAATAATGCAAGACTTCAACATATATTTGAACATATACATATTATAATTCCAACGGTTGAAAAGAAATGTGTTTTAAGAAATATTTGTTTGTCTGGTTTGTTTCTAAATGTCGCAAAAACACTCTATATTTAGAACCATTTGTCAATTTTGGATATACACTCGCTGGCCACTTTATTAGGTACACCTGTCCATTAGCCAATAACATTGCAGCAACTCAACGCATTTAGGCATGTAGACATGGTCAGGATGATCTGCTGCAGTTCAAACTGAGCATCAGAATGGGAAAGAAAGGGGATTTCACTTACTTTAAATGTGGCATGGTTGTTAGTGCCAGATGGGCTGGTCTGAGTGTTTCAGAAACTGCTGATCTACTGGGATTTTCACTCACAACCATCTCTAGGGTTTACAGAGAATGGTCTGAAAAAGAAAAAATATCCAGTGAGCGGCAGTTCTGTGGGAGCAAATGTCTTGTTGATGCCAGAGGTCAGAGGAGAATGGCCAGACTGGTTTCAGCTGATAGAAAGGCAACAGTATCTAAAATAAGCACTCGTTACAACCGAGCTCTGCAGAAGAGCATCTCTGAACACACAACACGTCCAACCTTGAGGCAGATGAGCTACAGCAGCAGAAGAGCACACCGGGTGCCGCTCCTGTCAGCTAAGAACAGGAAACTGAGGCTACAATTCACACAGACTCACCAAAACTGGACAATAGTACTGGACGTTGCCTGCTCTGATGAGTCTCCATTTCTGCTGCCACATTCGGATGGTCGGGTCAGAATCAATTTGGCATCAACAACATGAAAGCATGGATCCATCCTGCCTTGTATCAGCGGTTCAGGCTGGTGATAGTGAAGTAATGGTGTAGGGGATATTTACTTGACACACTTTGGGTCCATTAGTACCAATTGAGCATCAACACCACAGCCTACCTGAGTATTGTTGCTGACCATGTCCATCCCTTTATGACCACAGTGTCTCCATCTTCTGATGGCTACTTCCAGCAGGATAACGCACCATGTCATAAAGCTCAATCATCTCAGACTGGTTTCTTGAACATGACAGTGAGTTCACTGTACTCAAATGGCCTCCACAGTCACCAGAGCTCAATCCAATAGAGCAGCTTTGAGATGTGGTGGAACGGGAGATTCACATCATGGATGTTCAGCCGACAAATCTGCAGCAACTGCGTGATGCTACCATGTCAATATGGAGCAAAATCTCTGAGGATTATTTCCAGTAGCTTGTTGAATCTCTGCCATAAAGGATTAAGGCAGTTCTGAAGGCTAAAGGGGGTTCAACCTAGTACTAGTATAATGTACCTAATAAAGTGGCCGGTGAGTGTACACAATACACACATACTATGTGCAACTAATTTTTGCCCAGCACTAATTTCAATATAGGTAACAAAGCAATTGAAAAGCAGTAGTTAAGACAAAATAAATATTTACTCTTCATTTACTCACCGTCATATCGTTCCACACCCATTTGACACGTAAACTTTTTTGTTGTTCAACCCTCAGATCTCTCTTCGCTAAAAAGACAACATAAATGTGTGAATAAAACATCTACTTTATTTACCTTATTTTTAAGAACACTTCAAAAAAGCAAATGTTATGATGACTGAAATCAATAGTTATTAGTCATTGCTTGCTCATCTTCATGCTGTCTCACACTTATGAGTGTGTTTGTGTGTGTGTGTGTTTGTATGTGGGTTTCATAAAAGGACAGATTAAACATTATAATATCCAAAGTATATCTATTTGGGGCGACTCAGTGGTGCAGTGGGTAGCATGTTTGCCTCACAGCAAGAAGGTTGCTGGTTCAAGCCTCGGCTGGCATTTCTGTGTGGAGTTTGCATGTTCTCCCCGTGCTTGTGTGGGTTTCCTCCAGGTGCTCTGGTTTTCTCCACAGTCCAAACACATGTGGTACAGGTGAATTGAGGTTAAATTGGCCGTAGTGTATGTGTGTGAGTGAGTGTGTGTGGATGTATACCAGTGATGGGTGGCGGCTGGAAGAGCATTCGCTGCATAAAACATATGCTGGATAAGTTGCCGGTTCATTCCGCTGTGGCAACCCCTGATTATTAAAGGGTCTAGGCTGAAAAGAAAATGAATGAATGAATGTTTTTTTTTTTTAAATAAATTGAATTTAGTAGAAGAGCGGCATGGTTAATCAGTGGTTCGGAGGTTCGAGCCTCCGATAAACACACTCTCTCTCTCTCTCTCTCTCTCTCTCTCTCTCTCTCTATATATATATATATATATATATATATATATATATATATATATATATATAAACACCTATAAACACTTATTTACACACACTCACACTAAGGCCAATTTAGCTTATTCAGTTCCCCTGGCGCATGTGTTTGGACTGTAGGGGAAACCGGAGCACCTGGAGGAAACCCCTGCCAACACAGGGAGAACATGCAAACTCCGCACAGAAATGTCAACTAGCCCAGTCAGGACTCAAACCAGTGACCTTTTTGCTGTGAGGCGACAGTGAGCCACTGTGTTGCCTAAACTCCGTGTCTTTACTCTAATTTTCCAGCAGGGAAATTGTGTCATAGTATTGTTGCTGTGGGCTATTGTGGGGTGCAGATGCAGGTTCTGCGGGTTCAGTGGCACAGGCTGAGCGTACAGCATTAATCTGTCAGACAGTGAGCGGCTCTGGATTAGTTTAAGAGCATCACAGCTGTCAGACGAGCTGCGGTCAGATCACTGCTACTGTTAGAGCAACACAGATAGTCAAACAGGCAGACAGACAAACAGATGATAGATAGATAGATAGATAGATAGATAGATAGATAGATAGATAGATAGATAGATAGATAGATAGATAGATA